CCCCCCCCCCGCCAAAAAAAAAAAGTACCATAATGGAGTTTCAAATCTCCTGTCTATGAATTGATCTCTTTCCTTTCTTCTCCCTCTTTTATCTCCCTTTTTCCTTTCTTTGTGTGTGCGTGCATGCATGCGCATTGGAGCTTACACTCAGGATCTAGGCACTGTCCCTTAGCTTTTTGACTCAAGGATGGTGCTCTACCACTTGAGCCATAACTTCACTTTTGGCCTTTTGCTGCTTAATTGGAGGTGAGAATCTCACAGACTGTTCTACTGGGACTGGCTTCAAAGCAGGATCCTCAGATTTCAGCCTCCTAAGTAGCTGGGACTACAGGCATCAGCCACCAGTGCCTGTCTTCTAGGTTTTTCTGAGAAGCAGCTATTGGACTCCTTTGCCATCCACACAGCTCTCCTGAGCTGTATTCTCTTACACACCAAGCAGTGAGTGAGCCCGTTGTCCCAGATCCAAGCTGGCTGGCCCTTGCTTGCAAATGACGAGCTGTGACAATATTGCCCCTGGCTGCCTTGGTGTGGGAAAGGTTTGGAAAGAATTTCCTTTCCCTTTTGTTCCCCTAGGCTGGCTGCTCCTGAAATCCAGTCAAATGACAATTGATCCAGGAACAGCCTGGAGATGAGGAAGATACCTGCTCTTTATCTATTGGGGCATCTTTGAGAAGTGAAGTTTGTACACACAGGACAAAAGTTGCAAAAACCTGGCCTCAGGGCAAGCACCCTCTCCTCTGTGCCTGCAGGACTCTTGTCTTGGTCTGTTTCTGTTGCCTCTTGAACAGAATACAGTTTTGGAGACTCGCAAGTCCCAAGTGCAAGGCGCAGGCATGTCCGAGGGCCTTCAAACTCCATCAAGCCATGGCAGAAGGTAGAAAGGAAGGGAAGAGCAAGAACGAGAGCCTCCAGCCCTTTGCTAATTGGCATCAATCTATGGGACAACACTTCTCAAGTTTAACTCACAGCATTAGGTTGACAACATTGTTTTTGGAGGAATAGTAACACTTAGCTGCCCATCCCCAAGCTTGCTGAGGAGGTCTTCTGGCTAGTGCAGAACAAAGACTGCTGACTCCAGCTCAGTGTATGGTCATGGCTCCCCTTACCCATCAGCCCATCCTGCTATTCTTTGTCTCAGCCAATCGTTTCTTTTAACTAGGTGCCCAAGCCAATTAAAAATCATTTATTTGGGGCTGGGAATGTGGCTTAGTGGTAGAGTACTTGCCTAGCATACATGAAGCCCTGGGTTTGATTCTTCACTACCATATAAATAGAAAAAGTCAGAAGTGGTGCGGTGGCTCAAGTGGTAGAGTGTTAGCCTTGAGCAAAAGAAGCTTGGGACAGTGCCCTGAGTTCAAGCTCCAGGACTGGCAAAAAACACAATCATTTACTTCAGATTTTCCATCTCATGTATTTCCACATTACCTGGAATGTTCTATTTTCTTTTCTCCCCATGTTAAAACCTAGGAAAAGCCAGGACTACAGGCTGATTCCTGTAGTCCTAGCTACTTAGGAGGATGAGATCTGAGGGTCCCACTTTAAAGCCAGTCCCAGTAGAAAAGTCTGTGAGACTCTTATCTCCAATTAACCAGCAAAAAGCCAAAAGTGTAGTTATGACTCAAGTTGTAGAGTGCCATCCTGTAGTCAAAAAGCTAAGAGACAATGCCCAGGCCCTGAGGTTAAACCCCAATACCAGTGCGCATGCGCGCGCGCACACACACACACACACACACACACACACACACACACACACACACACACACACACACTCTCTCTCTCTCTCTCTCTCTCTCTCTCTCTCTTTCTCTCTCTCTCTCACACACACACACACACATGAAGGAAGGAAGGAAAAAGGGATATAAGAGAGGGAAAAAAAGAAATCAATTCATAGACAGAAGATTTTGAATCTCCATTATGGTATTTTATTTGCCAAACAGTTCTTCCTTCATAATTACATTTTTACACAAGGAATAGAAATTTCAAAGGGAGAAATAATTTTTAGACTTTTTAGAGAGCTTACATTTTCTCCAACATTTCAGGGTGCCACTAATGAGCTATGCAGTCTGGGGCATGTCCCTGGGACTCTCTGAGCCTCAGTTTCCCTGCATGTATCAAGGGCCAGATCTGGTCTTGTCCACCACTACCCTTACACAGGCTATATTCCCAGCTCATGTTTTTTCAGGACACTATAAATGAACACACTTAGGAAACAGTCACTTCTGGCCATTGTCATTTTGAATCTTGTGTCTCTGAGTAGAACATGGGAGGAGGGGAAAGGTCATCAGGCTGGGAGCGACCACTCTTCTCCCTCAGTCCAACTTGAGCTTCTCCCTTCAAGCTCCTCTATCTTTTTCTCCTTTTCCAGCCCCACTTCCTGGGGCTCCTGACTCCTCCCCTTTTGAACAGCTGCCCTATTGCTTTAGTTTCTGTTTCCTCGTCCAGTGATTCCCAGTGGAGTGAGGACTGCTTGGAGTGTGAGAGGCAGCAGTGGCCACAAAGGTGGTAGAGCCATGGCTTTCCGCAGCCCCCAGGGTCCCTACCTGAACCCGGTGAGTTCTGGGGTGAGATCATGGGGCTAGCCGGGGGGCTGAGCAGGCTGCCACAGCTGGATGGAAGCAACTCTGGGAAAGAAGCTATGGGTTTCCCAAGAAACAGTGGCTGAGTGGCAAAAGGCAGCAGGGGGCAGAAAGACAGAAGGGAAGAAGTACCATCATCATCCTAACCTGGCACAGAAGTTGTGTCAGGCCTGGGTCTCTGTGCCATTTGGGACAGTAACCCTATGTAGCACCTAGAAGGGTGTAAGGGGATGTGAGCAGGTTTCTAGAAGGCAAACATTGGCTTGCACAGAACTTAAGACTTGCTTGCTTTGGAGATGGCCTCCTGGGGTTAGATCTTCACAAGTTGGGTGATTTCTGTACAAGGTTCTTTTATAGTCCATCTAGGCCTCAGTTTCCACATCTGTAAAATGGGATGAATGTTCAAGCCTATCACCCAAGCCTGGGTAAAGATTACGCCAGGAAGGATGTGAGAGTGGCAAGTACTGTTGGGAGTAAGGGGACAGCATGGATACCTCCAGAGGTGTGTCTTCCCAGAGGCTAAGCAGGTGCTCACAGGACAAGGGTATGGCCTGCCAAGGGGCAATATTGAAAGCGAGAGAGAGAGGGGCACTGTTCCTGCAGTGTGGCGTGCAAAGCCTGCTTTCCCCATCTGTTTTTCTTTTTGTTGGTCATGGGGTTTGAACTCAGGGCCTAGGCTCTGTTCCCAAGCTTCTTCACTCAAAGCCAGTACTCTACAATTTGAGCCACAACCCCACTTCTGGTTTTCTGGTGGTTAATTGGAGATAAGAGTCTCGTGGTGGGGCTGGGAAGGTGGCTTCGTGGTCGAATGCTTGCCTTAAAGCATGAGGCCCTGGGTTCGATTCCTCAGCACCATATAAACAGAAAAGGCCAGAAGTGGTGCTGTGGCTCAAGTGGTAGAGTGCTTGCCTTGAACTGAATTGCTGAGAGACAGCACCCAGGACCAGAGTTCAGGCCCCACGACCGACAAAAAAAAAGAGTCTCATGGACTTTCCTGCCTAGGATGGCTTTGAACTGCAATCCTCAGGATCCTCAGATCCTGAGTAGCTAGGATTACAGGCATGAGGCACGGGTGCTTGGCTTCTCCATCTTTTTGTCCCTCTCTGGGTGGTCTTGCTTCCTGCAGGTGAAGTGGGCTAAGAAGCAGGGTGTTGAGGCCCGCGGCTAAGGAAGGCCTTGCCTTAGAGACCCCCAAACACAGCAGAGGCGCTAGGCTTGGCCAATGTTGCCAGGGTGCCTCTGTCCCTCTGGGAGGGGCTGGGCAGCATTTCTGAGGGGGCTGTGTGGCAGGTTAGCCCCACCAAGCAAGGGAAATCAATTGGGCTCTGCCACTTGCGCTCATTCTGGGGACTGCTTTTTGGGTTGGATATAAAAGCCAAATTATAGCAAGAGGGTTAAAACAGACACTGAGGTACAAATGAGAGAGAGAGAGAGACAGACAGAAAGATAGACAGACAGACATATGGAGGTGGGGGAGGGAGGCCCTGCATGCTTCCACCCCCCCCCAAAGTACTGGGAACTATGGGCCTGAGTCATTTAGTCACCCACAGTTGTCCCGCGGTAAGAGCCACACTTCCTCTAAATGCTCAGTCTGTAAGAACTTCATGTGAACTCTGTTTCATTGAGAAATTGCACCCACTGTCACATGCCACAGGGGGGCGGCTTGGGGGGACCCCCCCCCCGCTCCCATCTTCTAGCCAGCCTCCTCTGAGGGCCAGGAAGGAAGCAGGAGGCAGTCAAGGTGGGCCCCCGCTGTGGGAACAGGGGTACGGCTGTTCTGTGCTCATCAAGATGGACAGCATGGGTGACTTTTGGGGTTCAAATCCACGCTCCATCGGTGACGAATTGTGTGGTTTGGGGGCAAGTTACTGAACGTTTCTAGGCTCCTTTTGTCATCTGTAAAAGTTGCACCGACCATAGCAAGGGTGGTTACGATTATTTAAGGAAATAACTCAGACCCAATGATTGCCTGCCATCAAGGCCTCAGAACTTCCCGGAGTGGGCACCTGAGGCAGGCCGGGTGTCAGGGTTGAGGCCCAGAAGGCCCAACACTGCTTTCTGCATTTCTACAGTAGGACTGGCTGGGAGCAGAGAACTAATTTCAGCTCTGAAAGGGACTGAGTCACCGGATGTGAACAGCTGCCTGATCAGGGTCAAGTTTATTTGGTGCAATAAACAATGCTGTTTCCACCAAAAACAATTACTTTAACTCAGAGTGTGACCTTACACAAGTCATTCCCCTCCCCGCCCCCAAAGAAATTGGGCAAAGCAGTTTACCTCTGCAAAGGGGCACACTACCAGCCAAAAATCTGGCAGAGAAGGCGGTTTACTCCCATTTTTATCCCCAACACAGCTGGCCCTGCACAATCTGCTCACAATTGGCTAGTTTGAGAGGGTGGGAGGTATCCAATACACAGTTTTAAATATTTAGTTATGGGCTGGGAAGGTGACTTAGCGATAGAGTGCTTGCCTAGCATGCATGAAGCCTTGGGTTCAATTCCTCAGTACCACATAAACAGAAAAAGCTGGAAGCGGAACTGTGGCTGAAGTGGTAGAGTGCTAGCCTTGAGCAAAATAAGCCCAGGGACAGTGCCCAGGCCCTGAGTTCAAGGCCCAGGACTGGCCAAAAAAAAGATGTATTAGGTGACCATTAAATGACTTTGAGATAAGATTAAGAGTTTAATAGCAGTCTCAAAACATTCACCCACTACTTTATTGGTGCCTTAATTCTTTTATTTTGGAACAACCACGTAAGACAAAATCTTACATTTCAAAAATCCTTCCTTATCCCAAAGCATTTCCTCTTTCCCTTTCCCTAGATCAAATAAACAAATAGGAACCTTTTTTTTTTTTTTTTTTTGCCAGTCCTGGGCTTGAACTCAGGGCTTAGGCACTGTCCCTGAGCTTCTTTGTGCTCAAGGCTAGTATTCTACCACTGGAGCCACACCACCACTTTCAACTTTTTCTCAGTTTATTGGAAACAAGAGTTTCACAGATTTTTCTGCCCAGACTGGCTTTAAACTGCAAATCAATTTTCAGATCTCAGCTTCCCGAGTAGCTAGGATTACAGGCACAAACCACCTGCACCAGCTCAAATAGGCACTTTTAAACAACCCACTTTGATAGAAAAGATGGCTTTTTTTTCATAATTCCTCCCTCTGTTTTCTATTCTTTTCTTCAAACTTTTTGAATATAGTTGATGGTCCCATCCAGGGATATATTTTTGAGGATGAAGGTACATTCTTCTCCCACAGTCAGGATACATACTCCCGTTTACCAATTAGCTTTTTTTTTTTTTTTTTTCCAATTGGTAGGGCTAGTCAATTAGAACTTTCCCTACAAGGCAAAATAGACTTAGTACCTATTCCTTTTTTTTTTTTCTTTTTTTGTTTTTGGGTCCGGTCATGGGGTCTGAACTCTGGGCCTAGGCCCTGTCCCTCAGCTCTTCAGCTCAAGGCCGGTGCTCTACCACTTGAGCCACAGCTCCACTTCCGGCATTTTTCTTTTTGCTTATGTGGTGCTGAGGAATCGAACCCAGAGCCTCATGCATGCAAGGCAAGCGCTCTACCACTGCGCCACCTTCCCAGCCCCTTAATCTTTTTTTTGGGGGGGAGGGGTCCAATCGTGGGGCCTGAACGCTGGGCCTAGGCGCTGTCCGTCAGCTCTTCAGCTCAAGGCTAGTGCTCTACCGCTTGAGCCACAGCACCACTTCCGGCTTTTTTTCTTTTTTGCTTATGTGGTGCTGAGGAATCGAACCCAGGGCCTCATGCATTCAAGGCAAGCGCTCTACCACTGAGCCACCTTCCCAGCCCACCTTTTCCTTTGTTGTTGTTGTGGGGCTTGAATTTAGGGTCTGGGCACTGTCCCTGAGCTCTCTTTGCTCAAGGCCAGCACTCTACCACTTTTAGCTTTGAGCTATATAGTTTTTGAGTGGTTAATTGGAGATAAGAGTCTCACGAGAACTTTTCTGCCCAGGCTGGCTTCAAACTGAGATCCTCAGATCTCAGCCTCCTGAGTAGCTAGGATTATAGGTATGAGCCACCAGAGCTTGGCTGTACAGTGTACAGTTCTTCTTCTTCTCCTCCTCCTCCTCCTTCTTTTTTGTCAGTAATGGGGCTTGAACTAGGGGCCTGAATGCTGTTCCTCAGCTCTTCAACTCAAGGTTAATGCTCTACCACTTCACTTCCGGTTTTCTGGTAGTTAATTGGAGATAAGAATCTCACAAGCCGGGTGCTGGTGGCTCACACCTGTAATCCTAGCTACTCAGGAGGCTGAGATCTGAGGATCACAGTTCAAAGCCAGCCCCAGGCAGGAAAGTCTTTTTTTTTTTTTTTTTGGG